ATTTCAAACATGGAAAAATAGTCAAACATCAATAATCGTCGCGAAAGTCATTCATAATAATCGGCATCAATCATAATCATTAATATCGCAATCGGATTGTCCATACGCGACTTAAACCGACTAAAACGCAACCCATTTCAAATTAACCGTAAATTGGCCTATTTCGGGTCGCTTCATAAAAACTCGAAATCTCGAAAAACTAACCTCACCACGACGTTCTACACGTCGAAATTAGCTAGCACGTCAATTTTCATTCAATTCGGAGCAACTCGCTCTGTCGCCGAAATTGCCAAAATCGGTAAATCGAACATAATCGGGTTCCAAATTAAATTGGCTAACTTATGTCATATTTGTATTTAATTAATATAAATATTTAATATATTAAATTAAGAAAAGAAAAACAAAACATTAATTAATTAATTTTCTAAACTTAATTTCAATTTCTATACTGCTATACTGCATATTTTAGTTATAACTTAACTTCTATGCATAATGCTAGTTGAGTTTTCTATAACTTTTATGCATACTGCTAGTTGAGTTTTCTATAACTTCTATGCATACTGCTAGTTTTGTTTTATAAACTTAATTTAATTAATATAAATTAGTTTTTCTAATTTAATTTCTATTAACATAACAATAATCCCATAACACTAACACCTAAATTAACTTTTCTAATTTATCTCAACAAATCTCAAGAACCCTAACATCAATTTTATTCCAAATCAAAATATACCAAATCAAATCCTAACTATAAGCATTGGAAAATCAAACCCCTTGCCTTAGATACTTGAAATGATTCTTGATGATTTCAACCAACCCAAAACCCAAGCTATGGTGTTCTTCTTGCTCTTCTCTCCAAGACCTTCTTGTTCTCTCTAACTCTCACAATGTGCATTTTGTATGTTATGTCATAAAACAAGTGTGTTTGGTTTGTTTTGATGCAAGACAAAAGCTAGACAAAATACCAAAAATCCCTTCTTAAAATATGCTATTAATTAACACTAAATAATATCAAATAATATTATTAACCCAAATAATTAAAATAACTCCAAATAATTAAATATCGGTCCGAATAATATTTTACCGAACCGAATAGAATAAAAACCGGACCGAACAAAATAATTACCGGTCCCTCAAAACAAATACCGGACCGAATAAAATAATTACCGGTCCCTCAAAATAAATACAGGACCGAATAAAATAATTACCGGTCCCTCAAAACAAATACCGGACCGAATAAAATAATTATTGGTCCCTCAAAATAAATACCAGACCGAATAAAATAATTATCGGTTCGAATAAAACGTCGCCGAATATATTAACAGATATACCGATTAATTTAAATATTCTCGTTGCAAAAATAAACGTCAAACGGTAACTCGAAAATATTAATATAATATAATATTAAATAAAACGTGGCGTTACACTAAAAATTATAGGCCTGATTATGTGGCTTATAATGTAGAAGAAGATTCAATGAATCGTCAAGAAGCCTTGTCATCTCTGGATGTTTATTTATGGCAAGAAGCTATCAATGATGAGATAGAATCTCTAGAATCTAACAAGACCTGACACTTAGTAGACTTGCCTCCTGGTTGCAAACCAATCGGTTGTAAATGGATTTTGAAAAAGAAACTAAAACCTGATGGAACTATTGATAAATACAAGGTTCACCTTGTTGCCAAGGGTTTTAGACAAAGAGAAAATATAGATTTCTTCGACACCTTTTCTCCTGTCACTAGAATTACATCCATTAGGGTACTTATTTCAATAGCTGCTATTTATAACTTAATAGTACACCAAATGAATGTTAAAACAACTTTTTTAAACAGTGACTTAGAAGAAGAAATCTATATGAAACAACCGGAAGGGTTTGTGATCTATGGATAGGAAAACAAGGTCTGTAAGTTAGATAAGTATTTTTATGGGCTAAAACAAGCTCCAAAGCAATGACATGTAAAGTTTGATAACTTAATAATATCGAATGTGTACAAAGTGAATGAAAGTGAAAAATATGTTTATTACAAATTTGATAATTGTATTAGCACTATCATATGTCTATATGTAGACGATCTACTCATATTTGGATCAAACATTCAGGCCATTAATGATATGAAATCATTGTTGTGCAACAACTTTGATATGAAAGACCTCGAAGAAGTGAGTGTGATTCTTGGTATCAAGATCACAAAATCCAAGCAAGGAATTTATTTGGATCAATCACAATATATGAAAAAGATCTTAAAGAAATATAATTACTTTGACAGTAAACCTGTGAGCACACCAAATAATCCAAGCGTGAAGCTGTTTAAGAACACTGGTGAAAGTGTTAGACAAACAGAACATGCGAGCATCATTGGAAGTCTTAGGTATTCCATTGATTGTACTAAACTTGACATTGCATATGTCGTGGGTTTGTTGTGTGGGTTTTAGTAGACCGAGTAATGAACATTGGCAAGCTATTGAGCGAGTTATACGGTATCTTAAAAGGACCATGAATCTCGGTTTACATTATTAGAGATTTCCTATTGTACCTGAAGGATACAATGATGCAAATTGGAATACCTTATCAGATAATTCCAAAGCAACTAGTGGCTATGTATTCAACATAGCTAGAGGAGTTGTACCTTGGAAATCAAAGAAACATAATATCCTGAGAATATAGCATTAGCGACTGCTAGTGAAGAAGCAAGTTAGTTAAGATGCTTGCTAAGTGAGATTCCCTTATGAGAAAAACATATGTTAGTTATGTTGATCCACTACGATAGTACCACGGCTATTGCAAAAATTAATCGTTATTATAATGGTAAAAGACGTCAAATAAGAAGAAAGCACAACACTGTTGGATATTGTATCTCTAAAGGAGCTGTAAGAGTGGATCATGTACGCACTGTTGAAAATTTAGCAGATCCTTTGACGAAAGGATTAGCTAGAGTGAAAGTCTATAATACATCATATAAGATGGGACTAATGCCTATAGGAAAATGAGTTTCTCATGATGGTAACCCGACCTAAATGACTGGAGATCCCAAGAAATAGGTTCAATGGGTAATAACAAGTTGTGAGTAATATGAGATGATCATGCAAGTAAAGCATGAATCCTGAAGTAATAAGAGGATGAGATGATAGAAACTCTTAATGAGATCTATACTTTGTATGAGGGAGTACCTAGGCTACAAGAGTACTCTTGATAGACTCACCTATGTGATTGTGGAACTTAGGCCCGATCCTATGGAATTTCGAGGCAGAATTCCTAGAGCCTTCATTAAACTGGGATACACGTGCAGGGCCATTAAAGCACGGGCTATTAGAATACACCTTAAGAAAAGGTTGTGTGCGGGTTTGATGTTTGAGATAGAGTTCAATACATTTGTGTCACTCTTGTTGAATTGGAATTCTACTTGCTATGCAAAGGTTCAAGTCGTAGACACCTTTGTTTATGCACAATCTTAGAAACGTTTGACGTTACTTCTAAAACCAATTTTTTAAATTCAAGTGGGGGATTGTTGGAACATGTCCATGTTCCAATATGTTGAATTTAAAAATTTCTCAAGTCCCACATTGTTAGAATATCTTTTTGGTTGAAAAAACTATTTAGTCCCACATTGCTCATGTGAGAAATATTAACTATCTTACTTCACTATATAAGGAGTGCACATGTTTCATTCTAAATCACACCAAAAACTATTCTATTAGTTTTTCCTTCCTCACTCTCATAACTCTGCATCTCTCGAATTGTTGAAGCGCCATCTTCTTCCCCTTTCTTTCTACTCGTTGAGTTTTCCGAGTATTTTCTTGAATTCTCTTTAGAGGATTATGTTAATTTCTTATCATTTGAGTTGAGAAATTTTCAAGTTTAATCTTTTGGATTCTCTTTGGAGAATTATTTGAATTTCTCTTTGATGGAGAAATTATTATGAGTGGTCAAATGACCATTATTAATTTTTCTTTGGAGAATTATTTGAATTTCTTTTTGTTTGAGAAATTATTATGACTAGTCTTTGTACCAGATACTACGAGTGATGTTATACCATATTTGAATGGTCTTGTACCATCAGATGATGTATTTCTAGACCGATTATCTACCATGTAAGTAGTAATCGTACAGTATAGAACTGGGTTGTTTTATCCTGGAGGCGACGCGGTAGTTCGACTATTTTACATTATTTTGAGCAGTGTCGCGAAATGTCTTAAAGAGAGCGACCTAGTTTACGACTCAACTTAATAATTTCTTCAATAGCAAATATTTTAAAATTCGAAAACAACAAGAATCAACTTCTACACCTTTCATTTATTACTGTTGTCATGTGTATCTAAGTTCTCACTTATTAGGATTACATTCGTACATTTTTTTTTGTACTTGATATAATCATGGCGTTATGCATAGTTTAATTAACCATAAATATTTAATCTTTCATGTTTTTTTTTAATGTTTATATTATACTTTTGGAACTATGAAGTGCTAAAATAGGAAACTTTTTTATTATACCACACATAAATACAACACATGCAAATTAACCGAGAGTAGAAAATGTATACAAATAAAAGTAGAAAGCATATACTGACAATGCAACATATGTGAGGCTTGTTAGATTCTATAGATATAATGACCCCGACAATCGTCACACCATGTGCATGCATGGGATCCCAATCACTGGCGGAGCCAGCGTCCGGCCAGCTAGGGCAGCTGTCCAGGCTCGGCCGCCTACTTATGCATACCAACGACACCTAGAGCGAAAGAGAAAAAAAACAATAGTGAAATCTAAAACTCAAAAAGAAAATCGGACCTGATTCCAGAGCGGTGATGAGCATGGTGATGCGTCACAGAGGGAAATAGCGGTGGGCTTCACCAGATTCGATGCGTACGGCAGCGGGCGACCGGTATAGTGGTGCTTCGTGAGCGTCGGGCCGTCGAAGATGGTGGCGTTAATCGGTGATTCGTTGGAGGAGGTGACGCGGTGGTGGGTTTGAGATCACGACGGTGAGGGTTGAATGGTGCGATGTTGCTGTTGTTGAATCGGAATTCGTGGTGTTGTGATTGTCCGGGGGTGCTTGCTTCGAAAGGTGGTTGTTGGCGGTTGTTGAGCGAAAGTCAAAGCTTACGGAATCGAGGGTCATTGGAGTGGGTGATGAATCTGAGTTCATTGTTGGCTGACTGCGGCAGAGGTCGTATGTCGTATGGTCAGACGGTTGGAGGTTCTCGGAGTGACTATTTTTGCAGACTATTCGGAATCAGAATGCTTCATATTCAGGCTACCATTGATGTTGCAGGTGGAGCGTCGATGCAAGTTGATCGGAGATTTCTTCCTTCTTACTTCTGTTTCTTTTTGTGTCTAATTTTGAACTTGAGTTGTTGTTTGTTTTGACTTCTTCTTCTTTTTCAATTTTCCAACTTTTCCTGCTTCCTGCAAAAATTTCACTGTAGAAAAGAAATTCAACATGTTTAATGGTGATGAAAGTTTACTGGTTTATGATTGGGAATTGACAAATTGTGTGTTGAAAAGTCAAACAAATAATAACAACATAATATTTTTCATTGTAAACAACGTGTACAAAAGAAGATTTGAAATAAAAAGTTAGCGGTTCTGCAATATAGTGTAGCGGAATTTGATCACATCCCTATTGTTTTTTATTATGCTACTTAGTAAAATGTGTTCTCAAATAGTGGCTCTACAACATTGTAGCATACCAGAATTTTAACAAACCACTATTTCGCCGATCTGTATTTGACAACATTATTTGGAATTTGAATTGATAGCGGTGCTTTTAGGCAGTACTTAATTTCACACAAATGAGCGTGTTGAACTAATTTTCTCAGCTTTTATAGGTTTGTTCATTTTGTGAGCACACTTGAAATACTGTAACATGTATATATTATAGAATCCGAAATTTTAACATGTATATATTATAAAATCCGAAATCTTGCAAATTGAAGAGACAATTGCAATTCAAGGAAATAATTCCTTTGGGATTAACATTGTACTGTCTTGGTAGAAAATTATGAAGCCAATGAAAAAGGCTTCATAATTTTTCTGGCTCCGCCACTAATCCCAATATCCTATAAGCAAGATAGGATTTTATTTTATTCTTGTATTCATTACTCTCTCCATAAACCAAGCATGACATATAGTAGTAACCAGAGTGAGTGAGTCTATATGTTGGTGGTGGCGCTATGCAAAGCAATGGTTTCCATGGTCAAGCCAGGACCAAATCCAAACAAAACACCCCACTTAAGTCCTTCACCAGTAGTCAATTTCCCTTCCTTCATAGACCTTGTTCTCATCTCATCCAATATAAATAACACACAAGCACTCGACATGTTTCCATACTCAGTAAGAACATGTTTTGTCGCATTTAGTTTCTCTTATTTCATCTAAGTATGCCATTTTCATTGGAAAAGGAGGGGTGTGAAGATCAATGATACAAACAAGGAAATATTATTATTGATAGAGAGTACTGGGAAGAATATCCTATTTATAGAGAAATAATATTGACTAAATACATTGTTACTATAAGTCTATATGGGGTTAGTTCCCCATCACGTGCTCCATACAAGATAAATCAAAACATTATGTTACTTCTTATTTTCTTCTGGTGTGTATGCTGCCGCCACATTATTGCCGTTTCAATTGAAATTTCGTGAAATTTCCATTTTTTTAACCTACATTTTTAAGTTCTAAAAAAATCATATATAATTTTATTTATTAAAATTTAAATTCATAAAAATTTTAATTTATTTGAAATCAATTTACTTTAAAATAATACATATTTATCACTATTTTAAAACCCAATCTTTGAACCCACAAAAATGTTGATTTTATATTCAATCGTTCATATGCGGTCAAACTGCAATTGAACGGTTGCTATTTATATTATGCACTATCATTATAAATTTTTTTACACAATATATCATAACTATTCAAAAGTGTTAGTTTATAAATTATAAGAGTACAAGTTAAATATTACTAAAAATTTAATGACACCAATTTACTGATTAACTAACTTTTATATAATATTTGTAATATATAATATAATATGATAAACATGATTCAATAAAACTAATCCATGTATATACATGATTAATTATATATGTAAAAAATCATTAATTGTTTATGTCAACGGTGAAGCACTCACCATGTAAATCTTGAAGAAGAAGAAGCATAACAAGAAGGGACTGAAATAACACAAAGGAAAACAATATTTTTCTTATTCAATATTGAGTAGATTACAAATGTGGTTTATATATAAAGAGGATAAGTCCAATAACTATTGGGTGGTAATTTTGTTTAGTACTAAGCTGATGTGGCAAAGATACAATACTGAATACAGATATGTACAAAATACAGAAATTATACTAACAGCCCCCCTCAAGTTGGACTGTGGATGTTACAAAGTCCTAATTTGACCAATGTCTTTTGAAGGGCACGTGAATGAAGAGGCTTAGTCAGCATATCATCCAGCTGATCATGAGTAGAAATAGGTAACAAGTGAATGAGTTTGGATTGAATCTTCTCACGAACGACATGGCAATCCAACTCGATATGTTTACTTCGCTCATGAAAGGTAGGATTATGTGTTAAGTAGATTGTTGACTTGCTGTCACAGAAAATAGATGCAGGTTGATTGAACTCAATAGAAAGATCCCGTAACAAGTAATGCAGCCACTGAATTTCGCAAGTAAGAGAGGCCAGTGCTCTATATTCGGCTTCAGTAGACGATCTAGAGGCAGTATGTTGCTTTTTCGATTTCCAGCACAACAAGGAGGATCCTAACATGACACAATATCAGGTGACAGATTTTCTTGTATCGGGACAACAAGCCCAGTCAGAGTCAGAAAAGCCTTGAAGCTTCAAAGCACTGGAAGCAGAAAACAGTATTCTAGTGGCAAGCACGGACTTCAAATATCATAAAACACGAGTAGCGGCTTGAAAATGAGGAAGGCGAGGCTGAGACATAAACTGACTCAGGTGTTGTACAGCATATGAGATATCTGGCATAGAATTGGTCAGATATATGAGTCTACCAATCAATCTCCTATAGATGAAGGATCTTCTAATGAGACACCTTCTGTGATGGAGAGTTGAAGGTTGGTATCATACGGTACTGAAGAAGGCTTAGCTGCAAGAACTCCAACATCTTGTAACAATTCAAGAGTATACTTCCTCTGATTTAGAAAGATACCTGCTGTTGATCTGGAAATTTTAAAACCCAAAAAGTACCTTAGTTGTCCAAGATCCTTGATTATGAATTGTTGACTCAAGATATGTTTGACTTGTGTAATCCCAGTCAATGAATTTCCTTCCAAGACAACATCATCAACATATATAAGCAAGGCAGTAAACTCAGAATTCTTATTTTTAACATAAAGAGAATGGTCAGCCTGAGATTGTTGATATCCAAGGGAGATGAGAAAAGCATATAATTTGGAATACCACTGCTTGCTGGCCTGTTTCAACCCATAAAGAGACTTTTGCAATCTGCAGACTTTGTTGGAACTAAAACCAGACAATCCAGGGGGCAATGTCATGTATACTTCTTCAGATAAATCACCATGTAAAAAAAGCATTGTTAACATCTAATTGCTCTAAGTTCCACCCTTTTATGGCTGCAAGTGAGAGAAAGACTTTAACTGTGGTGAGTTTGGCCACGGGAGAAAAGGTATCAAAATAGTCAATACCCTACATTTAAGTGTAGCCTTTAGCTACCAATCTGGCTTTGTATCATTTTATAGATCCATCTGCTTTGTGCTTGACTTTATATACCCAACGACAACCAATTGGAACTTTTCCAGGGTGCAAATCCACCACAACCCATGTGTGATTCTCTGCAAGAGCTTTAAGCTCCACATCCATAGCATTTATCCAACAATCATGTTTAATGGCGTGTTTGTAGGTGGTTGGTCCAGATATAGAAGATATGCTACAACAATATTTTTTGTAGGAGGGAGAACACTTGTCATAAGATATGACATAAGAGAGGGGATAAATAGATTGTGTTTGTATGGAAGAAAGATGAGAAAGGTTATGATTATTGTTAGCATGATAGTAGTGATAATTTATAAGGTAGGTTGGAGGATTGGAAATGCGACTAGATTGTCTAGAGGGTACATTGGAAGGCCTTATATGGCTTTCCTGATTTCCTGGAGAAGTATTGGAGGTATTGTTATTAATAGGGTTATGAGGAGGTAGAGGATCAAAGGATTCAATGGACAAAGGTGAAGCAGGATTATCCATAGGGTTGGTACCAGCTATAGGTGGATCTGCCACAAAAGGTACAGTAGAAGGCTGGTTATTGTGATGTCCAAAAGGAATAGGCTCTGTGTTGGTACCTGAAAGGTCACTATCAAAGTTGGGAGTAGCAGATTGCTGTTGCATGCTAGGGGAAGAATTGTTGGTCTCAAGATAATCTGATATATCAGTAGAAGAAGCGTACTGATGGGACAACTCAGGGTCAGCATAGGTATGACATGCACTAGTTTAGAGTAATCTTGAGTAGTGTCAAAAGGAAAAATATGTTCATAAAAATGACATGTCTGGACACAAAAACATTATGGCTTTGAAGATCATATAAAATGTAGCCTTTAGTTCCATCCTTGAAGCCTAAAAAGACAGTTTTCCTTTACCTTTGATCAAACTTGTTTTTTTTATCTGGTTAAAGGTGGAATAACTCAAGCATCTAAATACTTTTAAGTGAACTAAGGAGGGAGGTTGATTGTATAATAGTTCATATGGGCATTTAAAGTTTAGCAGGGGAGTAGTGAGTCTATTTATGATGTGGATGGCATGTTGTATACAAAAATTCCACATTTTAAGAGGAAGATTAGAATGGAAGTAAAGAGATCTAGCCACATTTAAAACACGTTAATGCTTTCTCTCTACCACTCCATTCTGTTGGGGTGTGTAGGCACAAGATTTTTGATGGATAATCCCTTTTGACAAAAACATCAGATAAAGAAAGGAACTCAGTCCCATTATCTGATCTAAAACACTTAAGATTAGTGTGGAATTGATTTTCAATATAACTCATGAACTGAATAATACTCTGCTTGGCTTTATCTTTAGTTTTTAGAAAAATAACCCATGTTTATCTACTGAAGTCATCCATAAGGGTCATGAAATATTTGTGTCCTAGCATTGAGACAGTGGAAAAAGGACCTCATACATCAGCATGTAAGATTTCAAAAGGTAGTTTAGATTTTGTATAGCTATTTGGAAAGGACAACTTCTTTTGTTTACTAAAATGACAAGAGTCGCAAGGATGCTTGTTATTACAATTGAATGGAATAAAAGGAAATTTTTTTGACATGTATTGTAAACCTATAGTAGAAATGTGTCCTAATCTGAGATGCCATATTGAAGAACTGTCT